TTCTTGCACCCGGCGCAGGGCGCTCAGGTTCGTCTGCACTGGAGCGTGTGTCAGTGCTTCGTCCTTTGTTTGGCTGAGGGATATTTTGTTAATCTGTTCATCTGTTGATGGGCATTTGGGTTGTTCCCACCTTTGGGCTGTTGTGAACATGATGTACAAGCATCTGTGTGAGTCCCTGTTTTCACGTGGTAACTCTCTGTTTAGCTTTTTGGGCAGCCGCCACCTCAGGCCTCCTTTTGCTCTTACTTCAGCCTCTCAAGGAACTCCATTCCTGAGCCAGGCTCCCCCAAACACCAGTTACCTGGCCCTGTTCCTTCTGGTCCGGCCTTTTATTGGAAAATGAGCTTTCTAGGGTGTACAGACGGAGGCTTCAAGGAGACTCACTGGGGCTTCCAGAAAACCCAGATCATGTGCGTGGGAAAAAAGTGGGCCAGCTCAGTGCACTTCAGTGCATAGAGGGTTCTAGGCTCGGGTAGGAGCTGTGATGTCAGGACTGGGCCCACCTGGGTTTGAGCCCCAGCCCACCATCTGTGCCAGAACTGGGACCAAGGTAGCCTTCCCCTCTCTGAGCCTCACTTTCTGCCTCTGGAAAACAGGGGTGGCCATCCTCCCACTCCCCCAGCTTGTTGGGAGGGTCGAAAGTGAGAATTTACGGAAAGTGCCTTGGATAGAAGCAGCTGCTCCAGTTCAAGTTAACACAACACTCGCAACACTCGTCATTCAACAAGACTTGGTAACTGGCGCTGGGGGCAGGACTGAGGCGGTCACTTCTGCTTCCCCGGCCTCCACTTGGGGCTGAGGCATCAGGATCAGGAATGAATGGGAGGGAGGGAGGGGGGTGGAGCGAGAAGGGAGCAGGGGAGACAGTGAGATGGAAGCAGAGAGGAGGGGAGAGGGAGAGATAGAAACAGAGAAAGAAGGGGAGTAGAGAAGGAGAAACAGAAATGAAAGAGTGAGGGAGAAGAGGAGACTGGAAGACTGAAAGGTTATCTATCATCTATTTATCTATCCATCCAAAGAGGCAGAGACAGAGACAGATGGTGGGAGGCAGGGAGACTTAAAATGCAAGCACACCGACTTCATCAGGGGAGACCCATGGTGCTGGCCACACCCCCTGCTGGGCACTGGTCCCCTCTGTCACTGTATCCTGGCTTGCAGCATCCTCACCTTCAGACAAGGAAACAGGCCCACACAGCAGACTTGAGGGCTCCCAAGGGAAGAACGGTTTTGCCTAAGCACTGGTCATCACTGCAGACGATTCTGTGCCCTCCCTCTCCAGAGAATACTTGGTGAAGTCTGGAGACATTTTCGTTGTGCAACTTGGGGAGGGAGAGCTACTGGCATTTTGTAGGTCAAGACCAGAGATGCTGCTCAGCACCCTACAATGCACAGGGCAGTCTCCACCCCATAGAATGATCTATGCCGGCAGTACCAAGGGCAAAAATGCTGGGTTAGTTATTTGGGAAAAATCTGATTTAAGTCCCTAGAATAAATTCCTGATGAGTTTGATGGCATAAACCAGGGTGATTCCCAGTGTCTGTGAGTCACCTCCTCTCTGTGTGTTCTTTTTTTTTTTTTTTTTAATATAATTTGAAAAAATTGTTATGCGTTGAAAATACATACACTAGAAATTATCACATACTTCCATGGCATTCCCCTCCCCCACCACACAAGTAGAAATATCTGCTTGCTATGCTAATGTCATAGGTACATTAAAACAAAGAGGATCAGTCTATGTTCTTACATATGTGCAGCATCTCAGGCCTTTAGTCGGATAGTCACAGAAGCAAAGTCACTTAGGTTTCCACAGAACCCCTAACCCAGTGGTTGTCAATCTAGGGTGATTCTGTTTCCAGGGCACACAGCCATATCTAGAGACATTTTTGGTTGTCACAACTTGGGGGATGGGTACTGCTGGCATCGAGCAGGTGGGAGCCAAGGATGCTGCTCAACATCTTGCAGTGCACAGGACGCCCCACCCCAGAGGAGGATCTGGCCCCAAATGGCACACACCAGCTCAGTGTGTGTCCAGGCCATGTGGGGGGAGCTGCCGGGCTCTGGTGCCTTCATGAGCCATCTCTGCTGGTTGCCTTTGGAATCCCCTGGGCGCTGGCAGGCCTGGTTGCTAACTCAGCTTTGCTGAGGGGGCAGGGTGCTGAGTCAGGCATGTACTGGGTCTCACCTTACCCCTTGACAGCTCTCCCTCTCCCACTTCACACCACACAATCTGGCAGGATGCTGGGGCTCCCCGACATACAGGAAACTCCCACAGAAAAACAGCTCCTGTAGGCTACCCTCATCACTGGACTCACTCTTGAGAGATCATTTTGGTGTTGCTCAAAGCCCCCATCCTCAAATAACCTTCATCCCTTCTAATCCTTCCTCCCCACCCCCACCCCAGGACAATCTGAAACATGGTCAAGTATATATATATATGCTCAGTGCTTGTTTGTACAAGCAATTCCTGGCATGTCTAATTGGAATATTACGCAGCCATTTAAAAAGATAATAAAAACATGTCACGGAGGAGAAACAAAACAAAAACATGGAAAAATGGTTTTAACCTTGTCTGGAAAAAAACAAAAGGATACATTAGTAATCACAGCCATGTGAAAGCAATTCAAGCACTGACTGGCAACCGCCCCCTCCACAACTGTGATTGGAATTGGGTTGCAGCGTACAGGGTGAATATTTTTTCTTTTGATATTTTTGATATTTATCATTTTCTCAAATGGACTCCAGGACTTCATTCATGGGAAGGAAAAGCGTTCAGGTTCTGAGACTGGGCCCAACTGTGAGGTTATATCAACACTTTTCTCCAGGAGGCATCTGACGTGGAAGCTTGCTTCTGGGACAGGGCCACCTCCTTGCTCATAAAAGCAGCGAAGGATGATGATCTTTTAGGAACCAGAGCAGATTTCTCACCCTTGGCACTCACTGTTCACATATGGAGCCTGATCATCTTATGTGGTGGGGACTTCCCTGTGCATTCTAGAATGTTTTTTTATTTTATTTTATTTTATGTATTCATTTTTAGAGAGAGGAAGGAAGAAGGAGAGATAGAAACATCGATGAGAGAGAACATCGATTGGCTGCCTCCTGCATGCCCCCCACTGGGGATCAGGCCCACAACCTGGGCATGTGCCCTGACCAGGAATCAAACCGGCGACCTCTTGGTGCCTGGGTCGATGCTCAAGCACTGAGCCACACCAGCTGGGCTAGAATGTTTTTGTAGTGTTCCCAGCCCTTGCCTACTAGATGCCCAAAGCACCCCCCACCCTCGCCCCAGTGTGATAACCAAAATCTCTCCAGACTGGGTTGCCACTGGTTGAGAACCACTCATCTAGATGAAATGTGACACCATAGTTTCAAACAAGGGGCAGACGAAACAAGGAGGGCTATCTCTGCTTCAATCAGTGTTAAAGGCCCTTTGCCTGGAGGAGAGTCACTGGCTGAACCGGACAGCTGTGCTGGCCTGCGACACTTTCTGTTCTATCAGTTGGAGGCACTCAGGAAACAGAAACTCAGCAACTTCAGTCCCATCACAACTGACCTTTCATTGGACTCAGAGGCCTGGGGGGCAAGTGGACACCTGGGAGCTGTTTTCAAGTAAGCAGAAACCCAACAGGAAAGACTGGAGATCCTACTGAAAATGACTGAAAATTTCTTGTCTTTCTTCTGTCCCCAGTGCCTCTGAAACCAGCTCTGAGCAAAGAGGGGCATTTCTAAAGGTTGAGGGGTCACTGTCTTGCTCTGGAACAGGTTTTGCAAAAGCTGCAGAGAAAGAGGGTATAAGAGGCATGCGTGCCGCACACACACATACACACACACACACACACACACACGCCCTTTCTCACCAGCGGAAGTGGGGCCAGGTTATTTACTTGAGAAGGATGAATCAGATTGTCATCTCCCATTTCTGCTTTTTTGGATTACCAAACACTCTCAGCTGTTTCCAGGGCTGCCCTGGGGGGTGTGGGGGAGGAAGGATGGAGGGAGGGAGGAAATCCCAGTCTCTGTCACAGTGGGCGAGAGTGTTTTAAAATGGGTGATGCCTATGAGCTATTTTCACTTTCTGGAAAATACTTCTGCAACTGTTGGTGGCCATGGTTACCCACCCAGGGCCCTGAGAACCGGGAAGATGAGGGGTTGCAGGGCAATCTGTCAGGGAGAAGCACCTCCTCGCTCAACTGAGACATTTGGAGTGGAAGGCAGGTAGGTGTTGCCTCTTCCTTACAAGGTGGGTTTCTGGAGTGGCCACCTCCATCCACGAAGGCTTTGATGTGACTTCTTCACACAAGGGCACCTGCAGGGATGGATTCATGTCCCTCCAATGCCAGTAACAGGTGGGTTACTTCAGAAATCCTCCGATCCCCTCTTGTGGGGTTTGGGGATCCCTGGAAAGCAGTCAGATCAGCTAGCACCCGATTGCCATCACTCCTAGCTACCTCTCTGGGCCTCAGTTACCCCATCTGGAAAAAGAGCACCCACCATGCTTAGTATGGATTTCGTTTTTTCCTAACAAGATGGGGAATTCCTTCCTTAAAAAAACAGTCCTGCTTAAAGGCAAGACTAGTAAAAGGTAAAGCATGTTAGAAACTTAACATTTTGTCCCCTCATCCCCAAGAAAGTCTGCACACTCCAGAAGTCTGGCTAAAACCTCAGAAGTTTCAGAAGTAGATGAGGCTTTGATCAGCCCAGAGGAGGACACGTCAGTGGGACCAGCACTTTCCCCAGCCCCGGAGGAAAGGAGGCAATTTTTGGCTCAGGGAACAACCTTAATATAGCTCTTCCTCAATCCTAAAATGCAGTGTTTAAATTTATAGAAAAACCCACACGTTCCTGGAAGCTGGGTGCTGGCAGGGCAGGACCCACTTTCACCCCCAACCCCTCTGCCAGGCTGTCCTTCATCAAAGCTGCCTGTTTCCCTCAGCCTTTTCCAAGTGTCCCGAGCCCCCAGCTTTCAAGCAGCCAGACCAGCGCTGTGATTTTTTTTTTAAAAAAGATGCAAAACATTTTTAATAATAATAAAAAAACAAAACCCAGCAAAAGTCTTATAAAAATGAATCAGGCAGCCAATGCCTGTCTCCTTATTTACAGTAATACAATATCTGTCACAGTCACTATGTACAATATTTTAAAAAATGTTTGAGACAGTACTAATTAAGGCTGTATTTTTCACAAGGCATCAAGCCTCGATCCTCTAGTGTAGACCCGGTGGGGGGAAGACGACACTTAATTATTGCACCATTTTGAAAACAAAACTCGTCAAGGAGGATGGTGGTCTTCTCCCACCGGGCCTTCAGTCTCTGATGGGGGCCAGGGCGGCGGCATTGTCGTCGGTGGCCATGCTGTGCCCAGCCCGGTCCTTCAGCCCAATAAATACCAGTCACAGTTTGGGAGGGGGCTGCGCCTGGCGCGTGGGACCCGCCACGGCCGCGCGCGAGTGGGCAGGGGCGTCCAGGCTACATGTGCCGCTTCATGTGCAGTGCCAGGTGGTCAGAGCGGGAGAAGGCACGGTCGCAAAGGTGGCACTGGAAAGGCCGGTGGCCCGTGTGCTTGCGGTAGTGGCGTGTGAGTTCATCTGAGCGCGCGAACTTCCAGCCGCAGCCGTCCCAATTGCAGTGGTAGGGCTTCTCGCCTGCAGGGAGGGGGCGAGAACAGACCTCAGTTTCCCTCCCAGTGACCCCTCTGCCCGCCAGTGACCTTGGTGTTCACAGACACTCGCCTGGACAGTGGCTACTTAGGAGCGTGCAGCCTGCCCCAAACCAGCTCCCTGAGGCGAAAGGTTTTGAACCGTTAAGGATCCTAGGTCCTTGTCCCCCCACTCCAGATTCTCACGCCTAGGAGGTCCCAAGCGCTCACTGTCCACTTCCCAGTGTTTGGAACCACGCCTCCAGAGGTGTCCTACTCTCCCCCAACATTCTGTGACAGTCTCCCTAGGGTTCCTAAGTGCGCAACTTCTCCCCGAAGTCCTGAGCCACAATCCCAGGAGGGACCTAAGCGTGCACCCCAATATTCTGCGACAGAGTTTCTCTAAGGTTCCTAAAAGCAGGTCCCCTCCCCGATCTCCCGATCTCCCGAGCTACATCCCCAGGGAGTCCTAAGAGTGCGAACCTCCTTCCCAAACTCCTGGATCAAGCCCTCTGAGGGTTCCTGGTTGTGCCTGTCCTCCCGCGCCCAGGGCCGCAGCCCCCGCCCACTCTCGCCTCTCACCTGTGTGCGTGCGCAGGTGCGCCTTGAGGTGCGAACTCTTGGTGTAGGTCTTGCCGCAGCCGGCGTAGCTGCAGGTGTGCGTGGCGGTGCGCTTGCGGGGCCAGGAGCGGCGGCCGCGCTTGGGCTTGGCCTCCAGCAGCTCCAGCGGGGACGCGGGCGGCGTGAGAAGACCTCGGGCGGCGGGCGGCGCCAAACCCAGAGCTGCAGCGGCGGCGGCGGCGGCGGCCGCGTCGTCGAAGAGACCAAAGCCGGCGGGGGCGGGCGGCGCGTAGTGCAGACCCGGCCCGGGAGCGCCGAAGCCGGGGCCGCCAAAGGGCGGAGGGAAGGGGGCGCGCGGGCCAGGCGCAGGCAGGCGCGCGGGGCCGTCCGGGCTGAGCGGCGGTGTATCGGGCGGCGGCGGAGGGCGGCCCCCCGGGCCTCGCATGCACGCGGCGGCCGGGCCCGGGGCGCCCTCGCGCTTGAGGCCTCGAGGCCCGCGGGCCAGGGCGGGCGCGCAGCCGTAGCCGCCGCCGCCGTCCGCCTCGGGGGGCTCGGCCTTCACCAGGCGGCCAGGCGGCGCCAGCAGGAAGCGGCCGTGCAGCGCGGGCCCCGGCGGCACGTCTAGCTCGGGCGGCAGCAGCTCTGACACCAGGCCGCCCGCGGCGGGGCCGTAGGGCGGCGGCGCGCCGGGCTCGGGGTAGTAGAACGCAGGCGGAGGGGGCGGAGGCTCCGGGGCAGCTTCAGTGCCCAGGCCGTCCAGCCCCATGGACAGGATGAAGTCCAGTACACTGTTGAGGTCGTCGTCGGTGCCGCCTGCCTCGGGCTCTGCGCGCGGCCAGCGCTGCGGGTGACAGGGCGACGGAGGACAGGCGTGAGCGCGCAGTGGGTCCCGGGGACCGCCGCCCGCCGCCTTCATTCTATACCCTAAGCCTGCAGTCCCCACCTCCTGCGTCCTACTACCCTGGGCTCGCCGTTTGCCTCCTACATTTCTACTACCCTAAGTCCGTCATCCCCGCCGCCTGCGTTCTACTACCCCGCAGCCCAAGTTCTACTACCCTGAGCCGGCCGCCCCCGCTGTCCCTGCCGCCCTCACCTCCTGCAGGCCGCGCTCGCGACACGGGCTGGCGAAAGTGGAGAAGGACGGCAGGATGGGTTCGCTCAGCGCCATGGCCGGGACCCGAGACGCGCTTTCGGACACCGGTGAGCGACTGGTGGGGCGCAGGCGGGCGGGGACGGCTCTGCGGGCCGCGGTCGGGCCCGCCCAAGCCTTATAGACAAGGCGCGCGCGCGGGGGCTGGGCCAAGGCAGCGGCGGCGGAAACGCGTCCCGGATGGGGACGAACTCCGGGCGCAGCCTAAATTTAGCCGCGGTATATAAGCTGGCGGGCGGCGGCGGCCCTGGCCACTGCGGCCGCCAGGGCCCTGCGCCGCTGGCTGGCCCCTCGTGCGCCACCAGGCCGCGCCCCCTGCCCGGGCCCGCCCCCGCGTGTCTCCTTGGCAACGGCATCAACACGCACTCCACAACAGCCGCGGGATGCCCAGGGATCCCCGGGGCACCCCGTGGGCTCCCGCCTGCGCACCGACGGGGAGGACCTGGAGCGGGGGTGGCATCCGTGACCTGGGACTCTGAGCTGGGCCCCAAGGCCTCCCTGATCCCTGATGGATGAGGTGAATGGGCCTCAAATCCTCGGAGAGTTCTCCAGAATCACTCATGGGTGGCTTGATTGACCCCACAGCCTCAGAAGGGTCCTGAGAATCCTTGGTGGATGGAGTGATTTGGTCCAACGACCTCAGGGTGGGGGTTTCCCGGAAAGACTCAGCCCCTCATTTTCTGGGGCCCACCTACCCTGACCTATTGTTATGCTTCACCCTCAAAATGTCTTGCGTGATAACATAAAAAAATGTTCAATCTTGGAGACACTGTTTCTCAAGAAAGTCCTTCAGAGTAGGGAAACTGAGGCCCACCAGGGCACTGGGAGAATCTAGGTCCTACTGTTGCAGGCAGGTCTCCTGATTTCACTGACTTGCATGAATGAAGAGACTCAAGACAAGATGACAGTCTCTGCTCCAACACAGATGCAGCACTGGTTTGGGGCACAGGAAACAAGCCTGCCTGGTGGGCATCTTAAATATACCACCTGGGTTCTCCCCACCATAGCCCTGCTAGCAGGGGATTGTCACTCCCATTACCACTGTATGGGCACTGGAAACACAGCATCCAAAAGGTAAATACAGGCCCCTGCCCTTGGAGTCTTCCACTCAAGTTTGTGTGTGTGTGTGTGTGTGTGTGTGTGTGTAAAATAAGTATATTGGAGATGGGGCCTTTTGGAAAAATAAAGCAGGGGAGGGAGAGAGGAAGTGAGTGAGTATGTGTGACCAGGAGAGAGAGGATGGTGGAATTTTGAACCTCACCCAGGAGAAGTTGTGTGAGTCAAGACGTGTAGAAAAGGGTAGCCAAATTAATATTGGAGGGGTAGCATCTTATGATATGACTTAGAGCCCACATCTAGCTTTGGTCTCTTGACTCCAGAACCCATATTTGGGCCAGGGGGTGAGAGGTCAGGCAGTTTCTGTCCTGGAAGCCTTCCTTGGGAAACAGAAGAGCTTTGCCACTGACAGCAGCTGGAGTGCCACAGACCAGGGCCTCTGCGGGGGTTGGCCTTTGCACGCACAGATGCCAAGGAACTTCTTTTGGGCCCACAATCCTGGACCCTCCCAGCTGGAAGGAGCCTCAGAGGTGTGCCACCTCACAGTGATTCATTTAACTGTAGATTAGACATATACTTGCTGATAAACTCTATTTGCCGGGCAGCAGAGGTGCTTCAGTGCCAGACAATTGCTGAAGGGGGCAGAGACCCCCCTCTGTAGCCTTTCCAGGTGCTGGAGGCTTCAAGTTCAGCTCAGACATGTTCCCTATGGCTGCCACTGTGATGGTTGAGAGTCGGCCTTGTCCACTAACCCCTCACTGTGTGACCTGGAACAAGTGCTTAGCCTCTCTGGGCTTCCTCATCTGTGAAATGCAGGCCACGATAGTACTTTACCCCAAAGGGATATTGTGAGGCTCACACAGGCTTTCTTCTTTGTGGAAGTGCTGATGACATCCTGTGAGCTCTCTTCAAGTGTTTTTCTTGTTGCCTTTCTCTTAGCCTCAGTTTCCCCATATGATAATGAAGGAAAGACTTAGGGAATTGAATCTGGTCCCCAAGATGTAGGACTCTCAGGCAGTTGCAGGCCTTGGTGCTCTCCATCTCTGACAGCTCCTGCAGCTCACTCCAACCCTCTCCCTACTTAGTTTCCTTGCAGGATCTGGAACACCCTCAGTACCTTCCCCCTCCAGGCAAGTACCTTCCCCCTCCAGGCCTTTGTACTTGCTGTGTCTTCCAGCAAGTGTTCCTTCCTCTCACTTTCCACTTGCTTGGCTCTGGCTCATCTCCCCCTGGCACCCCTTAACTAATGAACTTTATTGTTTTAGAGCCGTGTTAAGTTTATAGAAAAAAAAAAATGAGCATATGGTACAGAGAGTTCTCATATAACCCCCCCTTACACACATAGTTTTTCCATCAGTAACATCTTGCGTTAGTGTTGTACATTTGTTACAATTGAAGAGCCACTATTGATTCACTATTATTAACCAAAGTCCACATTGTACTTTTAAGGTTCACTCATTGCATTGTACATTCTGTAGGTTTTGAACAATGCACAGTGTTTATGTATCTACTGTAACACTAAAATACACAGTCATTTCACCGTCCACCTCTCTATCCTCCCTCCTCCCTAAGCCCTGGCTGGGTTCCACAGTTTTGCCTTTTTCAGAGTGTTATATGGTTGGACTCATAACAGGATGTAGCTTTTTCAGACTGGCTTCTTGCACTTAGCAATGTGCATTAATGTTGCTCTGTGTCTTTTTGTGTCTTGATAGCTCATTTGTTTTTATCACTGAGTAAGATTCTGGATGTAACACAGTTTATCCATTCACTTACTGAAGGACCTTTTGGTTGCTTCCAGTTTGGGGTAGTAGTTGCTATATTGAATATATATTGAATATGGCTGCTATACACATTTATGATTTTTGCCTGCAAATAAGTTTTCACATTAATTGAGTAAATACCTAGGAATACAATTGATGGATCGTAAGATAAGACTATGTTTAGGTTTGTAAGAAACCGCCAAATAGTCTTCCCAAGTAGCTGTATCATTTGCCTTCTGATCAGCTGCGAGGGTTCCTGTTGATCCATATCCTCAGAACGTTTGGTGTTGTCAGTTTTTCATATTTTAATCATTCTAACAGGTGTGTAGTGGTATCTCAGTGCTGTTTTAACTTGCAGTCCCCCATGATATCTGATGTGGAGCATATTTTCATAGGCTTATTTACCATCTGTATATCTTTTTTAGTGAGATGTCTGTTCAGATCTTTGGCCCAGTTTTTAATTGGGTTGTTTGTTTTATTATAGAGTTTTAAGAGTTCTTTGTATATTTTGGACACCAGTTCTTTATCTGATAGGTGTTTTGCAAACATTGTCTCCCAGTCTGTGGCTTATCTTTGGCGGAGCAGAAGTCTTCCATTTTAATGAAGACCAGCTCATCAATTTTCCCTTTCACAAATTGTGCTTTTGGTGTTGTATCTAAAAAGTCATTGCCAAACCCAAGGTCAGCTCCATTTCCCCCTGTGTCATCATCTAGAAGATTTATAGGTTTGCATTTTACATTTAGGTGAGTGCTCCATTTTGAGTTATTATTATTTTTTGCATGTGCATAACCTGTGGTTCCAGGACCGTTTGCTGAAAAGACTGTTCTCACCTCATTTTCTGTGCATTTCAGCCTAAGTGTGGGCTTTCCAGGCCCCCAGGCCCACCCGACCAGCCTTCTGCAGGCTGTACAGTTCCTTTCTCCAACCCCCCTTTTTTTGTTTGTTCTACAGCACTTTTCACCATTGGTCATTATTTTTATTCACCCCTTTGCTTTTTTTCTGATTCCCCAGTAAGTAGTGTGTGAACTATGGGGAGGGTGGGAGCCAGGTCTGTATTGGATCCACTGTGCTCTTCAAGCCCAGCCCAGCACACAGTAGGTGCTCAGTAGACATTCACGGATGGACGGACAAGCCAATGAGAGTATCTATCTCTTGCAGGTTCTCAGAACTCCCCAGAGTGGCTCTCCACTCCTGCAGGGTTGTCCACATTTTCTCCTCCTCAGTTCAGCCTCCTGTGGACTTTTTGTGTCACTATGGGAAACAGGTTGAATATGTCCCCCAAAAGAGATGTCCAAGTCCTAACCCCTGATACCTGTGAATGTGACCTTATTTGGAAAGAGAGTCTTTGTAGGTGTAATTGAGGGTCTAGAAATGAGATCATCCTGGGTTATGATGGGCCCTAAGCCCAATGATAAAGGTCCTTATAAGAAAAAAAGACGCAGAGACACAAGCACAGAGAAGACAGCCATGTGAAGAAAGGGGCAGAGATCAGAGCAATGTAGCTACAGCCAAGGAACACCAAAGATTGCCTGGAGCCACTGGAAGCCGGGAGAGAGGCCTGGGATGGATTATGTCTGAGTCTCATCAGAAGGAACCATCCCGGTTGACACTTGATTTTAGACTTCTGGCCCCCGGAATGATAAGGGAATGCATTTCTGTTGTTTTAAGCCACCCAGTTTGTGTCCATTTGTTGTGATTTCCCCAGAAAACTCATGTATCATGGTAACCAACTTTTCTTCCTGGCTTCCTCTCCAGACATGGAGCCCCACAAGGCAGGGGCCTCTCTGGATTCACCTCTGTGTTCCCTAAGCCCAGCTGTGGACGTGGTGTTGAAACAAGCATGGTACGAGGATGATGGCTGCCCACCAGGACCTTCCAGGGCAGTGTGAACACTTCAGAGTGCCCAGTGAATTAAACCAACACACAGAGTCACCAATGAATGGAAAGAGGATGGATTTTAGTTGCCATTTTTGCTGCATGACCTTGGACATGTCACCTAACCTCTCTGAGCCCCAGTTTCATTGTGAGATATGAGATGGCACATGTAGATGCTCAAGAATGCTTGCTGTCTAATTAAGGGCATGAGTCAGACAGGGGATCCCAGGTGGGTTATCATGGGAGAAGCTCAGTGTTCAATGGTGGGGGTGCTTGGAGCATGGCCCCTCTCATGCTGTGGTCCTATCATCCTGCTATCCAGGCCATACCTACAGGTGTGCATGTGTGTCACAGTGACATCTCAGGTGATGATGCTGTTGGAGAAAGGCTCT